TTAAAAAAAAAAAGAAAAAGAATAAAAAAAGGTAATTAATTGAAGGTTTGATTTTGATGTGAGGATCGTTGGAGGGTGTGTTCGGTGTGTGGTAGTCTTTTTAGTCTGTGAGGTAGAGGAGAGTAGGTGTGTGTGTAGTGTTTGTCGTGTTATGGTGGGTTTGTAGGTGTGTGCTAGATAAGGGGTGGTATTTTCGTGATAATGTTATTGTGATGTAGGGGGGTAGAAGAAGTGTGGTGGTTTTATATAGTAATAAATTAGTAAGATAGTTATATCTTGTGTAATTGGTTTGATGTATTTGTGCGCATAATTAAAAATCGTGGAATTAAATTTAAATAGGGTAGATGGTTAGTGTTAATGAATTAGTGTTTTTTTATAATTCATTTCTAAATATATATTAGTATTAAATTATAATTAAATTTAAAATTAGTTATTTTAATATGTTGCTCTTTATTATTTAAATAATTAATTAAAAACTTATTTATTTATTATATACAATTTATAATTAATTATTCATTTCTATCAATTTATTCTTACTCTTAAATTAACATTCATTACAATCATACTAACTCATTATACTCATTATTATTTTTTATTAACCTCCTTTCCTCCTTCCCACCCCAAACCTACCTCTCCTCTCTCATTTTCCTCCTTCCTTTCCCTCCATCCTCCTCCCTCTCTCTTCCCCCTCACCACTCTCCCTTCGGTCTATCCCTCCCCTCCTTCCCCTCTCTCCTCTCTCCCCCTCCTCCTCCCCTCTCCTCCCCCTCTCCTCCCTTCCCCTCTTCCTCCTCCTCTCCCTCTCCCTCCTCTCCCTTCCCCTCCTCTCCCCTCCCCTTCCTCCTCTCCCTCTCCCTCCTCCTCCCCTTCCCTCCTCTCCCTCCCCTTCCTCTCCCTCCCCCCTTCTCCTCTCCCTCTTCCTCTCCCCTCTTCCTCCTCCCCTCTCCTCCTTCCCTCCCTCCTCCTTCTCCCCTCCCTTCTCTCCTCCTCCCCCCCCTCTCCTTCCCCTCTCCTCCCCCCTCCCCTTCTCTCTTCCCTCCCCCTCCTCCCCTCCTCCCTCCTTCTCCCCTCTCCCCTCCTCCCCTTCTCCTCTTCTCTCCCCCTCTTCTCCTCCCTCCCTCTCCTCCCCCTCTCCCTCTCCTCCTCCCCCTCCCTCTTCCCCCTTCCTCTCCCCCTTCCCTCCTTCCCCCCTCTCTCCCTTCCTCTCCCTCCTCTTCCTCCCCTCCCCTCCTCCCTCTCCTCTCCTTCCCCTCTCCTTCCCTCTCCTCTCCTTCCCTCTCCTCCCCTCTCCCTCTCCTCTCCTTCCTCTTCTCCTTCCTCCCCTCTCCTTCTCCCCTTCCTCTCTCCCCCTCCTTCTCCCTCTGCCCATCTCCTTCTCCCTCTCCTCCTTCCCCCTCTCCTCTCCCCCTTCCTCCCTCTCCCTCTCCTACTTCCCCTCCTCCTCCTCCCTCTCTTCTCCTTTCCCCTCCCCTTCCCCCTCCCTTCCCCTTCCTCTTCCCCTCTCCCCTCTTCCTTCCTCCCTTCCCTCCCTTCCCCTCCCTCCCTCCCTCCTTCTCCCCTCCCCTCCCTCTTCTTCCTCCTCCCCCTCTCCCCCTCCCTCCTCTCCCCCCCCCCCTCCCTTCCCCTCCTCCCTTCCTCCCTCCTCGCCTCCTCCCTCTCCTCCCTCTCCCCTCCCCCCCTCCTCCCCTCCCCCCCCTTCTCCTCTCCCCCTTTCCTCCCCTCCCCCTCTCCCTTCCTCCCTCCTCCAGCCGCTCCCTCTTCTCCTCCCCTCCTCCCCCTCTCCTCCCCTCCCTTTCCTCCCCCTCCTCCTCCCTCCCTTCTCCTCCTCCTTCCTCCCTCTCCCCTCTCCCCTCCCCCCTCTCCCTCTCCCTCCCCTCCCCTCCTCCCTCCTCTTCCTCCCCCCCCCTCCTCCCCCCTCTCCCTCCCTCCTCTCCCTCCCTCTCTTCTCCCTCCTCCCCTCCCCCTCCTTCCCTCCTCCCTCCTCCCCCTCTCCCCTCCCCCTTCTTCTCCTCCTTCCCCCTTCTCTCCCTCCTCCCCCCTTCCTCCTCCTCCTCCCCCTCTCCTCTCTCCCTCCTTCCCCTCCCTTCCTCTCCCCTCCTCCTCCCTCTCCCCCTCCCTCTCCCTCCCCTCCTCCCCCTCTTCCTTCCCCTCTCCCTCCTTCCCCTCCCTCCTCCCTCCTCCTCCCTCCTTCTCCCCTCCTCCCTCCTTCCTCCTCCCTCCTCCCCTTCCCTCCTCACTCCTCCCTCCTCTCCTCCTCCCCTCTCCTCCTTCCCTCCCCTTCCTCCCCTCCACCTCTTCCTCCCCTCTCCTTTCCTCCCCTCCTCTTTCTCCTCCCCCTTCCTCCTCCCCTCCCCCTCTCTCCCCTCCTCTCCTCTCCTCTCCCCTTCTCCTCTTCCCTCCCCTTCTCCCCCTCCCCCTTCTCCTCTCCCCTTCCTCCTTCTCTCCCCCTTCTCCTCCCCTCTCCTCTCCCTTTCTCCTCCCCCCCCTCCCCTCTTCCTCCCCCCCTTCTCCCCTTCCCTCCTCCCCCTCCTCCCCCTCCCTTCTCCCTCCTCTCCCTCTCTTCCTCTCCCCCTTCCCTCCCCCCTTCCTCCTCCCTCCCCCTCCTTCTTCCTCCCTCCCCTCCTTCCTCCCTCCCTCCCCCTCCCTTCCCCCTCCTCCTTTTCCTTCCCCTCCTCCCCCTCCTCTCCTCCCTCCTCCCTCCTTCCCTCCTCACCGCCTCCCTCCTCCTCTCCTCCCTCCTCCCTCCTTCCCTCCTCCCTCCCTCCTCCCTCCTTCCCTCCCTCCTCCTCTCCTCTCCCCCTCCCCCCCTCCCTCTCCCCTCTCCCTCTTCTCCTCCCCCTCCCCTCCTTCCTCCCCCTTCCTCCTCCCCCCTTCCCCCTCTCTCCTCCTTCCTCCCCTCCCTCCCCCCCTCTCTCCTCTTCCTCCTTTCTCCCTCCCCCTCCTCCCTCCCCTTCTCCCTCTCCCTCCTTTCCCTTCCCCTCCCTCCCTCCTCCTCTCGTCCCTTCTCCCTCCTTCCCTCCCCCCCTCCTCCCCCCTCCCTCCCCCTCCCTCTCCTCTCTTCTCCTCCTCTCCCCCTCCCTCCCTTCTCCCCCTCCCCTCCTCCCTCCTCCCTCCTCCCTCCCTCCTCCCCCCTCCCTCTCCCTCTCCCTTCCCCTCCCCTCCTCCTTCCCCCTTCCCCCCTTCCCCCTCCCCCTTCTCCTCCCCCCCCCCCCCCCCTCCCCCCTCCTCCTCCCCCTCGTCCTCCCCTCCCCCTCCTTCCCCCCCCTTCCCCCTCCCCCTCTCTCCTTCCCCCCCTCCCCCTCTCACTCCTTCCCTTCCCTCTCCTCCCCCCCCCCTCCTCCCCTCCTCCCCTCCCCCCTCCCCCCTTCCTCCCCCCTCCCTCCTCCTTCTCCCTCCCCTCCCCTCCCCCTCTCCCCCCTCCTTCCCCCCCCCTCTCTCCCTCTTCCTCCTCCCCTCCTCCCCCTCCCTCTCCTCCCCCCCTTCCCTCCTCCCTCCCCTTCTCCTCTCCCTCCTCTCCTCTCCCCTCTCCCCCCCCCCCCCTTCCTTCCTCCTTCCCCCTCCTTCTCCCTCCCCTCTCTCCCCTCATCCCCCCCTCCCCTCCCCTCCTCTCTCCCCTCCCCCTCTTTCTCCTCCCTCCCCCCTCCCTTCTCCTCCTCCCCTCCCTCCCCCTCTCCCTCCTCCCTCCCTCCCTCCTCCCTCCCTCCCCCCTCCCCTTCTCCTCTCCCTCCCTCTTCTCCTTCTTCCCCCCTCCTCTCTCCCTCTCCCCCCCCTCCCCCTTCCTCCCCTCTCCCCCCCTCCTCTTCCCGCCCTCCCCTCTCCCCCCTTCCCTCCTCCTTCCCCTCTCCCCCTCCCCCCTCCTCCCCCTTCTCTTCCCCTCTTCCCCTCTCCTCCCTCCCCCTCCTCCCCCCTCCTCCCCTCCCTCCTCCTCCCCCCCCTTCCCTCCTTCCCTCTCCCCCTCCTCTCCTCCCTCCCCTTTCCCCTCCCTCCTCCCCCCCCCCTTTCTCCTCTCCCTCCTCCCCTCCTCCTTCCCTTCCCTCCCCCTCCCTCTCCTCTCTTCTCCCCTCTCTCCTCCCTCTTCTCCTCCCCTCTCCCTCTCCTCCCCCTCCCCCTCCCTCCCCCCCTTCTCCCTTCTCCCCCCCTCCCCCTCCCCTTCCCTCCTCCCCCCTTCCCTCCTCTCCCCCCTCTCCCCTCCCTCCCTTCTCCCTCCCCTCTCCCCCTTCCCTCCCTCTTCCTCCCTCCCTCTTCTCCCCTCCCCTCTCCCCCCCTCCTCTCCCCTCTTCTCCTCTCCCATCAACTCCTCTCCCCTCTTCTCCTCTCCCATCCTCCCCTCCCCCCTTCCTCTCCCTCCCTCTCCTCCCCTTCCTCCCCTCCCTCTCTCCCCCTCCCCCTCTTTCTCCCCTCCCTCCTCTCCCTCCTCCTCCCTCCTCCTCTTCCTCTCCTCTCCTCCCCCCTCCTCCCCTCCTCCCCCTCTCCTCCCCTCTCCCCCCGCCTCCTCTCCCCTCCTCTCTCTCCCTCCTCCTCTCTCCCCCTCCCTCCTCTCCCTCCCCCCCCCCCTTTCCTTCCCCCCCCTCCCCTCTCCTCCCCCTCCCTCTTCCTCCCCTTCCTCCCTCCTCTTCCCCTCCTCCCTTCTCCCCTCTCTCCCTCTCCCTCCTCTCTCCCTCTCCCCCTCCTCTCCCCCCCTCCCTCCCTCCTCCCCTCCCCTCCTCCCTCTCCCTCCTCCCCTCTCCCTCCCCTCTCCTCTCCCCCTCTCCTCCTCCCTCCTCGCCTCCCTCTCCTTTCCTCCCCTCCCTCCCTCCCTCCTCTACTCCTCCCCTCTTCTCCTCCCTCCTCATCTCCTCCCTCCCCCTCCCCCTCTCCTCCTCTCTCCCCTCCTCCCTCTCTCCCCTCCTCCTCCCCCCTCCTCTCCCCTTCTCCCTCCCTCCCCTCTCCCTCCTCTCCTTCTCCTCCTCCCTTCCTCTCCCCCTCCTCCTCCTCCTCTCCCTCCTCTTCTCCTCCCTCCCCTCTCCCTCCCCTCTCCTTCTCCTCCCCTCTCCCTCCTCCCTCTTCCCCCTCCCTCTTCCTCCCTCTTCCCCTCTTCCTCCCTTCCCTCTTCCTCTTCCCTCCCTCTCCCTCCCTCTCTTCTTCCCTTCCCTCTTCCTCCCCCTCTCCTCTTCTCCCCTCTTCCTCCCTCCCCTCCTCCTCTCTTTCTCCTTCTCCCCTCCCCTCTTCTCCTCTCCTCTTCTCCCTCTCTCCCTCCTCTCCCTCCTCTTCTTCTCCCTCCCTCCCTCTCCCTCTCACCCCTCCCTCCCTTCTCCCCTCTCCTCCTCCTCTCCCTCCCTCCCTCCCCTCTTTCCTCTCCCTCCCCTCCCTTCTCTCCTCTCCCTCCCCCTCTCCCCCTTCCTCTCCTCCCCCTCTCCCCTTCTCCTCTCCCCTCCTTCTCTCCTCCCTTCCCTCCCTCCTCTTTCTCCCCCTTCCTCCTCTTCTCCCTCCCCCCTCCCCTCCTCCTCCTCTTCCTCCCTCTTCCCTTCTCCCTCCCCTCCTCCCTCTCCCTCTCTTTCCCTCTCCTCCTCCCTCTTCCCCTCCCCTCTCCTCCTCTCTCCCCTTCTCCTCCCTCCCCTCCTTTCCCCTCCCTTTCTCCTCCCTCCCTCCTCTTCTTCCCTCCCTCCTCTTCTCCCCTCCCCTCCCTCCCTCTTCCTCCCCCCCTCCCCTCCCTTCCCCTCTTCCTCTCCTCTCTCCCCTCTCCCCCTCCTCCCTCCTCCTCCCCTCTCTCTCCCCTCTTCCTCTTCCCCCTCCTCCTTCCTCCTCTCCCTTCCCTCCTCTCTCCTTCCCTCCTCCCCTCTTCCCTCCTCCCTCTTTCCCCCTCCTTCCTCTTCCTCTCTCTCCCTCCTCCTCTCCTCCCCTTCCTTCTCCCCTCCCTTCTCCTCCCTCCTCTCCCCTCTTCTCTCCTCTCTCCTCCCCCTTCCCTCTCCCTCTCTCCTTCTCCTCCCTCTCTCCTCCCTTCCTCCCCTCTCTCCTCCCCTCCTCCCCCTTCTCCTCTTCCCTCTCCCCTCCCCTTCCCTCTCCTTCTCTCCCTCCTCCCCTCCTCTCCTTTCTCCCCTCTCCCCCCTTCTTCCTCCTCCCTCCTCCTCTCCCCTCTCCCTCTCCTCCCCCTCCCCTTCCTCCTCCCCTCCCTCCCCCCTCCCTCCCTCTCTCTTCCCCTTCTCTTCCTCCCTCTCTCTCCCTCCTCCCCTCCTCTCCTCTTCCCTCCTCCCCCTCCTCCCTTCTCCCTCCCCTCTCTTCCCTCTTCTCTCCCCTCTCCCTCCCTCTTCCTTCCTCCTCCCCCTCCTCCCCTCCCTTCTCCCCCTCTCCTCCTCTCCCTTCATTCCTCTCCCCTCTCCTCCTCTCCCTTCTTTCCCCTCCCCTCTCCTCCTCTCCCCCCTTCCTCTCTCCCCTCCCTCCTCCTTCTCCTCCTCCCCTCTCCTCCTTCTCCTCTCCCTCTTATCCCTCTTCTCCCTCTCCCCTCCTCCTCCTCTCCTCTTCCTCCCCTCTCCCCTCCCCCTCTCTCCCCTCTCCTCCTCTCCTCCTCCCCCCCCCTCTCTCCTCTCCCTCTCTGTCCTCTCCCCCTCTCTCCTCTCCCTCTCTCTCCTCTCCCCCTCTCTCCTCTCCCCCTCCTCCCTCTTCCCTCCCCTCCCTCCTCCTCCCTTCCTCCCCTCTCCTCTCTCTCCCTTCCCTCCCCCCTCCCTCTCCTCCTCCTCCCCCTCTCCTTCCTCTCCCCCCTCTTCCTCCCTCCCCCCTCTCCTCTCCCTTCCCCCCTCTTCCTCCTCCTCTTCCCTCTCCTCCCTTCCTCTCCCTCCTCTCCCCTCCTCCCCTCCCCTCTCTTCCCCTCCTCCCCATCTCTCCTCTCCTCCTCCCTCTTCTCTCCCTCCCCCTCTCCTCTCCTCTTCCTCCCTCCCATCCCTCCTCCCTCCTTCCTCCTCCCTTCCTCTCTCTCCTCCTCTTCCCCCCTCCCTCTCCCCTCCTCCTTCTCCTCTCCCCTCCTTCCCCCTCCTCTCTCTCCTCTTCCTCCCCCCTTCCCTCTCCTCCTCTCTTCCCCCTCCCCTCTCCCCCTCTCCCTCCCCTCTCCCTCTCTTCCCCTCTCTCCTCCTCCCTCCCTCTTCCTCTCTTCCCCTCCCTCCTCCCTTCCTCCCTCCTCTCTCCTCTCTCCCCTCCCTCTCCTCCCTCCTCTCCCCTCCCTTCCTCTCCTCCCTCCTCCTCCTCTCTCTTCCCCTCCCTCCTTCTCCCCTTCCCTCTCTCCCCCTCCTCCTCCCTCCTTCTCCCTCTCCCTTCCTTCCTCTCCCCTCTTCCTTTCTCCCCTCCCCTTCCCCCCTCTTCCCCTCCCTCCTCCCCTCTCTTCCTCCCCCTCCCCTCTTCTCCCCCTCCTCTCCCCCCCTCCCCTCCTCTCCTCCTTTTCCTCCTTCCCTCCCCTTCCCCCCCTCTCCTCCTCCCTCTTCCCCTCCCTCTCTCCCTCCCCTCCCTCTCCCTCCTCTCCCCCTCCCTCCTCCCCTCCTTCCTCTTCCTCCCCCTTCCCCCTCTCCCCTCCTCTCTCCTTCCCCTCCTCTCCTCTCCCCGTGCGTCCTCTCCCCTCCTCTCCTCTCCCCTTCCTCTCCTCTTCCTCCTCCTCCCCTCCCCCTCCTCTCTCCTCCTCCCTCCTCCCCCTCCTCTTCCCTCTCCCTCTTCCTCCCCCTTCTCTCCCTCCCTCTCCCCTCTCCCTCCCTTCTCTCTTCCTCTCCTCTCCCTCCCTTTCTCCCTCCTCTCCTCTTCCCTCCTCTCTCCCCTCCTCCTTCTCTCTCCCTCCCCTTCTCCCTCTCCTCCCCTTCCCTCTCTTCCCCTCCTCTCCCCTCTCTCCCTTCTCCTCCCCTTCTCCTCCTCTCCCTCCTCCCCCCTCTCTTCCTCTCCTCTCCCCTCTCCCCTCTCCCTCCTTTCTCCTTCTCCCCCTCCCCTCTCCTCCCTCCTCCTTCCCCTTCCTCCCTCTCCCTCCTTCCCTCTCTCCTCTCCCCTCTCCTCCTCTCCCACACCTTCCTCTCCCCTCTCCTCCTCTCCCACACCTTCCTCTCCCCTCTCCTCCTCTCCCACACCTTCCTCTCCCCTCTCCTCCTCTCCCCTCTCCTCTCCCCTCTCCTCCTCTCCCGCCACTCCTCTCCCCTCTCCCTCTCTCCCTCCCTCTTCCCTCTCCTCTCCTCTCCCTCCTTCTCCCTTCCCTCCTTCTCCCTTCCCTGCCTCTCCCTTCCCTCCTTCTCCCTTCCCTGCCTCTCCCCCCTCCTCCTCCCTTCCCCTTCTCCTCCCTCCTCTCCCTCCCCTCCCCTCTCCTCCCTCCTCCTCTCCTCTCCTCTTCCTCTCTCCCCCGCTCCTTTTCGGGGGCCTTTTCCTCCTCCCTTTCCTCCCTCCTTTCCTCCTTTTTCCCTCCCTCCTTTCCCCTCTCCACAGCCCCCTCCCTCATCCTTCCTTCCCCTCCTCCTCCTGTGGCGGTGATCGACACTCCTGTCGTTCCTCTCTGCCCTCTCAAGGTACATGCTAGGCTCACTACAACACTTTTCTGTAGCATTCGCTTACTCTCTCTGCTATCGTGCGCCGTGGCGTTTATTTCGTGCCTGTTGCCTCGATTTTTTCTCTCTTGTCTCCGTTTGGTCGGTCGCGTCGCTCGGTATGCACCTTTTACGTGTTGCCCTTGCTTCTTTCGTGCCTCACCCTTACCCTCTGTCTGCTCCGTTGTCCAGGTCGGGGACGCGGAGTGGCACTGAGACGGAAGGGGAGGGCAATGAGGGGCGGGCGGAGGGGTGTGGGGTCTGAGGAACTCAGGAGTTAGCCGTAGGAGTACAGCGAGGTAACAAGCGACGAATGGGCGAGGTGGGTTGGGAGAGAGTGGTATAGAGGACGAAGGGCAGTACGGGAAGATGGAGAGGCGTCTGCTTCGCGGGCGAGCGAGAGGGGAGTGTGGAGTGGATGGGGAGTCCGGGAAGAGTGTGATGAGGTGTTAGGTTTGGTGTAGATGGATTTGAAGGGAGATGGAATGAGGGGGGGGGGGAGGGGGGGGGAGGGGGGGGGGGGGGGGGGGGGGGGGGGGGGAGGGGGGGGGAGGGGGGGGGGGGAGGGAGGGGGAGGGGGGGGGAGGGGGGAGGGGGGAGGGGGGGGGGGGGGGGGAGGGGGAGGGGGGGATGAGGGGGGGAGGAGGAGGGAAGGGGGGGGGGGGGGGGGGGTGGGGAGGGGGGGGGGGAGGGGAGGGGGGGGGGGGGGGGGGGGCGGGGAGAGCAGGAGAGAAGGAAGGGGAGGGAGAGGGAGGGGAGGGGCTTATGGGAGGGGGGGCGGGCGGGAAGGGGAAGAGCGCAGTGACGGAGGGAAGTTCGGGCTCATATATGAAGGAGGCGAGGGAGGGAGAGCGCGAGTGCGGGGGGGAAGCGAAGGAAGGGGGGGGGGGGGGGGGGAAAGAGAAGGGAGGAGGGTTGAAAGAGAGAGTCAGGGAGGCGCGTAGGCGAGGGGAGAGCGGGGGAGAGAGAGGGGGAGGAGGAGAGGGCGAGGGATATTTTTTATTTACTAGTTTGTTTTCTTTGTGCTCTGGGGTTGTCGGGTCGGTCTCCGCATGTAGGGGGCTACCTCTCGAGAGTGGGGGGGGGATACGTTCGTCGCGCTTGTAGGTGCGCGAGGAAGGGTCATCACGTGTCCTGTATTGTATTGTGCCATTTGGATGGGGTGTGAGAAATTAAGAGCAATATGCCGCGAGGTCTTAAATCAAAGAATAAAACTCAAATTATTACAACCCTTCCTCCACCATTTTCCCCCCCTTTCTCTCCTTTCTCTCTCCCCCTCCCTCCTCCTCCCCCCCTCTTCCCCCTCCCTCTCCCTCTCCCCCCCCTCCCCCCCCCCCCCCCCCCTCCCCCCCCCCCCCCCCCCCCCCCCCCCCCCCCCCCCCCCCCCCCTCCCCCCCCCCCTCCCCCCCCCCCCCCCCTCCCCCCCCCCCCCCCCCCCCCCCCCCCCCCCCCCTCCCCCCCCCCCCCCCCCCCCCCCCCCCTCCCCCCCCCCCCCCCCCCCCCCTCCCCCCCCCCCCCCCCCCTCCCCCCCCCCCCCCCTCCCCCCCCCCCCCCCCCCCCCTCCCCCCCCCCCCCCCCCCCCCCCTCCCCCCCCCCCCCCCCCCCCCCCCCCCCCTCCCCCCCCCCCCCCCCCCCCCCCCCCCCCCCCCTCCCCCCCCCCCACCCCCCCCTCCCCCCTCCCCCCCCCCCCCCCCCCCCCCCCCCCCCCCCCCCCCTCCCTCCCCCCCCCCCCCCCCCCTCCCCCCCCCCCCCCCCTCCCCCCCCCCCCCCCCCCCCCCCCCCCCCCCCCCCCCCCTCCCCCCCCCCCCCCCCCCCCCCTCCCCCCCCCCCCCCCCCCCCCCCCCCCCCCCCCCCCCCCCTCTCCCCCCCCCCCCCCCCTCCCCCCCCCCCCCCCCCCCCCCCCCCCCCCCCCCCTCCCCCCCCCCCCCCTCCCCCCCCCCCCTCCCCCCCCCTCCCCCCCCCCCCCCCCCCTCGCCCTCCCCCCCCCTCCCCCCCCCCCTCCCCCCCCCCCCTCCCCCCCTCCCCCCCCCCCCTCCCCCCCCCCCCCCCCCCCCCCGTCCCCCCCCCCTCCCCTCCCCCCCCCCCTCCCCCCCACCCCCTCCCCCCCCCCTCCCCCCCCCCCCCCCCCCCCTCCCCCCCCCCCCCCCCCCTCCCCCCCCCCACCCCCCCCTCCCCCTCCCCCCTCCCCCTCCTCCCCCCCCCCCCCTCCTCCCCCCCCCCCCCCCCTCCCCCCCCCCCCCCCCCCCCCCTCCCCTCCCTCCCCCCCCTCCCCTCCCTCCCCCCTCCCCCCCCCCTCTCCCCTCCCCCCCCCCCCCCCCCCCTCCTCCCCCTCTCCCCCCCCCCCCCCCTCTCTCCCTCCTCCCCTTTCTTCCTCCCCCCGTCCCCTCTCTTTCCCTCCCCCCTCCTTCTCCTTCCTCTCCTTCTCCTCTTCCCTCCTCCTTCCCTTCCTCATTTCCTCCTCCTCCCTTCTCTTCCTCTCCTCTCCCTCTCTTCCTTCCTCCTCTCCTTCTTCTCCTCTTACTTTCATTTTCCTCTTCTTCTCCTTTCTCCTTCCTTTCTTCTTCTCCTCTTCTCTTCTCTCTTCTCCTTCTTTCTCTTTCCCTCTTCCTTCTTCTTCTCCTTCTTTCTCTTCCCTTCCCTTCTTTCGTCTCTCTCTTCTCTTTTCCTCCTCCTCTTTTCTTCTTCCTTTCTTCTCTCTTCCCCCCTTCCTCCCCCTCTTTCCTTTTTCTTCCTTTTTCCTTTCTCCCTTTCCCCTCTCTCCCCTCCCCCTTCCTTTCCTCTTCTTCTTCTTCTTTTCTTCTGCTGCGTTGTTCGTTCGCCCCGCTGCCTCCTCCCCCGCCGCCTCGTTTGTGCGCTTGTCACTCTGCCTTTTGGCCCGCTCCTCTCACTTTTGTTTTGCCTCCTTCCGGCCTCGCCCGGGGGGGGAAAAGGTGGCCTCTCTCGTCCCGGGCTTCCGGCCCGTTCCCCCCCGCCCCCCTGGTTCCTCTTTCCCCCCCCCGTCTCGTTCCCGGCGTGTGTGCCCGGCGCCGGTGCACCCCCGTCTCCTCGGTTGCCCGCTGCCGCCCGCCGGTCCCTCTGGCGCCCTTCGCCCTGCGCCTCTCCTCCCTGTCATTCCTTCGTTCCCCCTCCTGTGGCCCCCTCCATCGGCGCGTCCGTCTCCCCCTCCCCGCTCCTTCTCGCCCTGGCGCTTCCCTCCCCGTCGTGCCACCACGTCTGCTCCTTTGCCCCGGCCCCCTCCTCTCGTCCCTCGCCGTGGTGTGCCCTGTCCCCTCTGGCGCGCAGTCCTTGCTGCCCGCGTGCCCTGGCCCGCCCCCCTTTATTTTGCTTCTTCACCTCTGCGGGCGTTGCCTGCCCCCTCGTCTTGGCTCCCCTCGCCTGCCCCTTTTCCCCGCTCCTCCTTTCCCCCCCCCTGCTCTGTCCGCCCTCCCTCCTCGCGGTTGCCCCGCGTCCTGCCTGCTGCGTGCCCCGCCGTTCCCGCGCCCCTTTGTTTTTTTGCCTTCTGGCCGTCTTCCGCTTGGGCCGCTCCCGTCGCCTCCGTCTTGTTCTTTTTCACCCCCTCCTCTCCGCCTGATTGCTTCGCTTCCGTTCCCGTGGTCGCAGGTGTGCGTGCGGGATCCCCACCCCTTTTCCTCCGTTCTCCCCCCGCTGCTTTTGCCCCACTGTCCCCGCCCCTCTTGTCCGCGCCTCCTGTGCGACCCCCTTCTGCCCTCCCCCCCCACCCCCCTCTCGTCTCCTTGCCCGTGCTCGTCCGTGTGGGTCCTTCCTCCCCTGCTGCTCCGTTGCCTGCGTCCGTTTCCTTCGCCTGCCCTCTTATTTTCCCCCCTGTTGCTGTCACCCCTGTTTACCCCCCCTCCCGCTTTCCTCGCCTCTGGATCCCCTGGGGCTTTGTTTTTCCTGCGTCCCTCCCCGCCCTTGTGGGCTTTCTCCTCTCCTGCATTGTTGCCCGGGTTGGCGGCCTTCTCTTCTCCGGCGCTGTGCCTTGTCCCTTCCCTTTGCTGCTCCGGCTTTGGGCGTCCCTCATATTTCGCTTTTTGTGTTCTCCCCCCCGTCGCTGTCTGTGTGTCCCGTTCTTGTCCCCTCTGTCTACCCCCCCCCGCCCCTCGTGTTTCTCCGCGCTTCCCTGCTGCACTGTTCTGCCCGTCCCTCTCTCCCGGCTCCTCCCCCCCCGCCCGGGCCCTTCTTGCGGTCTCATTCCTTCCCTTGCCGCGCCTTCCTTTCCCCTCGTCTTCCGTTTTTGTCTCCCCCCATCTTTGCGGTCTTGCTGTGTGGGCTGCCTCATCTCCTCTGCCAGCGTGTGTCGCCGCTCGCTCTTCCCCCTCGCCTCGCGCCTGGCCTGTCGCCCGGCTTGCGGTTCCGGCGGCGCATGTCTCCTCCTCCCGTTCCTCGCGCTTCCCCTGCCCCCCCTTCCCCGGCTGCCCCTTCTCATGCCCCCTCCTCCCTCTCCCCTTCTTCCTCTCGGCTCTATCCCCTGCGCCTGCCTCCCGACGCCCCGCGCCCTCCCCTCCCCCTTTTGGCCCCTGCTGCCGCCTCCGTCCTCCCCCTCCCCCGCTGCTCTTGCAGCCCCCTTCTTCCCCCCCCTCCCAGGTTTCCTGCCCCCCCCCCACTTTGTGTGCTTCCCGTCTTCCAGCGCTGCCCCCGCCTTCTCGCCCCCCGTTCGGGGCTGCCTGGCGCCGGCCCGGTCCCCCGCCCTTCGCTCGTCCGCGCGCTCCTTTTGCCCGTTTTCTCCGGCCCCCCGTCGGCCGTGAGTTTGCTCCCCTCCGTTTCTGCCACCCCTTGCAATCTCCTCGTCCTGCCGGTCCCCTTCCCCCGGGCCTGCCCGCTCGGCCCCGGCCCCTGCCCGGTCTCCCTCCCCCCCTCCGTGTGTACTCGCCAATCCCTCTGGCCCCCCCCCGTCATTCCCTTCCCCCCCCCCTCTCTCCTTGTTGCGGCCTGCCGCGCTGGCTCCTTCCCTTTTTTCATTCCCCGTTCTTTTCGTCGCCGCCCCCCTCCCCGCCTAGGCCTGCCGGCCTGCCATCCTCATGTATTCGCAAAACCGTGCTACATTCGGCGTAGCTTACAAAATATTGTACCTGGCTATGATGCTGGTTAATAGAAAAGACCAAAGATTGTAACTTCGACTCAACCGAAAGACACCGAAACTGTCTACAACAACAATTTGACTTTTATCTTAAAACCGCAAGTCCTAAGATAAGTAGGAGAACCAGTCATTAAACGCAGAGCAATAACGCGGATTTGTGTGCAACGAAACGTAAATGTGAACTATTTATTTGCAGAGAAAAAGTTAGGCTTAATTTTATTCAAACTGTAACTACTAACCAGTGAACCAGTGGAACTTAACACTAAAATTATGGCAAACATAAACGTTGCATTATGTATACGATCAGTTTGTTTTCTTTGTTGAAACATGTGTTGTTTTATTTTAAAAAGTGTAAAATATTTGGTCCTCAGCTTTTCATAAGTAACCTTAGTGTCCTTCCACAACAAGTCGTAACGGTTCTTCTCGCAATCCATCTTAACAGGTTATTGGACAATGCTATTGGTTAGCTCCACCACAGAAGGCGTGCGAAAGTTCATGTGACAACAGCACAGCACCTAAATCCAATCAGACGTGAATTTTCATTTAGTTCAACCGAAAGTTTATTGGGAATTCAGAGTATAAGTAAGTTATTCTAACCTGTGTCTCAAACAACGTAAGTTGTCGTTCGCACAAATTTATGTTCATAAACCCCATCGACTTGCGGCCTACAGGAAATAATACTGAAAGTGGACTGATCTCAGAGGCGTAGCATTGGGGGCGATGGGGACTGTCCACTCTTTGCAAAGCGACATGGGCGGCAACATTAGCACCGTCGATTGATGATACGAAATATAAACGGCAAACTATTCAAAGAATCTGAGGTTTGACGATTTTATTGTTCCTGTGTATGCCCAACAACACCTTTGCGCCATGTGTCACACATGTGCGAACGTGTGTTATAGCAATCTCTCTACTTGTCCCGTTGTAGTCACATTCAGCACATTTACCTCAGTGTCCCAAACGATCATCGATTTCATCGAAAACTTATGTGCACCTTACCCTGAGTCGATTGTATGGCCTTCAAGCGTCCGTGCTACCGAAGACAATAGGCGAGGCGAAATCGGTGTCAGAATTCAAAAGGTTCCTCGGCGCCCACTTTGTGGATTACCAGTATAGGGAGTGTAACGCTCCCGAATAAGATGTAGCGCAGCTGAGATATGCCGTCGCCGCGCATGATCAAGGACGTGATTCCGCGCAGTTGCCCGCTGCGACAAAGTTGCGAACAGTCGACAGCGTAATTACTTCTATTTTTGCTAAAAGTAGTTGGAAAGATTTGCTTATGGGTATAAAATGTATGTATACGTCTACAAGCATTAGACGAGCGGATAGAAATGCTTAAATATCCCGTACACCAGATTAAAAAAGTATAACCAAAATGTAATTTTAAAATGGATTGCAGAGAACATAACGCTTAAACAACGGCGTTTGGAAAATAATAAGTTAAAAGTAATGTTCAAGCTCCAATGATACCTGTATAAAAGTTTTTATGAAGGATATTAGTTACAAATACCTATGTATTGCAAGTGGACTGGGTTCTGATTTCATATCATTATGTAGTAGTATAGGTCTTGAATTTCCGCACAAAAATATGACAAAGTGTGGAACCTATTAGGAATTGTCACATAAAGTTAAAGGTGCTCATTTAAACAGAGTGGCTTACATGATCGTCACGATATTTCGGCAAAAATAATAGTCACAGAAATTTCTATACGGATTCCTGATAACTTGCTTAAATTGGGTCCTGCGAGCGCGTAATCATGGAAAGAAAATTGAATTAATTTATCTACATTCCTCTAATGTGGATGGTAATTATTTAACCAGTCAGTCGAATAACTTATAACGCAATAAATTCTCGCTAAAGTGGGTCTGAGAGACTGTCCTCGTTAATCAGATTGATTTCATTTTTATGTGCAATAGAAGATAATCTATGAAGTCAAATATACTTGGAAAAGTTTATCCTTTAACGCTGATGGAAAGAAAATCTCGGTGCATTGACATAAATTGCCAGCCTCCACACTAAACCAGTTGTCGGGATAAGCTAACTGGAGTTGTGTTATAGGTGTGGTTACATTGTTAAATTTTCCAAAACATTGCTGTCAGTCAAAATAAAACTATTTTACAATATGTGGTAGAACATTCCGTTGCAGATAAGCGACAGAAGTTGCAGTGTGCAGACATAGTGGCAGAAGGTTTTTATCATCTAGCTCATCAATGAACGAAATAATTGTCTCTCAACTTGCAAAAGTGAACAAGTCCATAAGATTATTCCGATTCGCAGATTAGTTGCTCTTCTGAGTACCCGCACGCGTAACGGTGCATTGCTTATTTACAGTAATACAGTGAACTTCGTTAATTAAATTAATAACCAAACGCTGAAGTAGCGGTAATAAAATAGAACATTTATGTCAAAGTTTTGTTATCTAGTATATGCCCTCATTACCCGCAATAGCGTGTTTAGGGTTTCTAATCTCAAGTGTCTGCAGTATCCGCTCGTCTTCCAAACCAGGCACTCGGCTCCCCCTAGCTTTTCGCTGAGCATTGCATGCTTACCTATTGTATCATTCAGAGAAGCTATTTGGAAAGATAATATTTTTCTGTTAAACAACTTGTATTTTTAATGGCGTTGAATGCCGAGAGACCAAATAATGTGAGTCGTTATATGAGGATAAATGTTCTGTTCTATTGCGTAAAATGAAACAAAGCTTTATGGGATACTACCTAGTGATTGTCTAGGTTTCCTACGTAAAATCCCAAATTGGTGAAGTAGCACATACATACGAAGTAAGCCCTTACCCGTTGATGCAAATACTCTCCAGTGCATAACAATGGCTACGGAATCGCAAGCACTCTCGGAACTAGTCAAGCTAATAGCGCACAATCAATACCGAGGCCGTAGATGAAATACCCACTGTGATTGCAATAGTATAAGCTGCGGCTTAGTGACAGATAACTGGATTATAGTTTGAAATTCCTCTACTGCTAAAGAATGACCGGAGCTACCTACTCCATTCAGGGCGCAGCAGTCTTAATGTTCATGCAATTACCAGAGGAAAACTATCTTGTTTGGAAGCCTTTGAGAACACTAATCAGCTATTAACACTGAATAGTTTATCTGCGCTGGAGCTATAGTCTGAAAAACAAAGAAAATCTTGTTGGTACATTGGAGTGAAAGTTTGATGGGCTGTACTGTATGCGGATGGTAAGAATGGTTAAACTAACCGTCAACACATACACGTGAATTGATGGGGAAGGATGGCAGATCCGCAGCGTCTAAAATCGCCTGTGAAAAATGCTATAAGATGATAAATGTAGTGGTTTGATATTCCACCTCATCTACTTATTTCAGCGCCAAATGCAAAAATACCAAAACAAGTAGGTTCAGGCTGATTAGCAGCAGGTCAGGTCATTTTGGTTTTGCGCAAAGTGTGGTGCCGTCTCATTAGTTAAGCCGATAATTGCAAACTCGCAGATTATGGAGGCTAGTATCAGTGGTGAAGCAAATTTTGGGTAACAAATTGCCCCAGTATGAACAAGCATAACAGAATGTCTCACACAGGTCCTCCACCGAACTTCACTGCAATCCAATTCAACAACGCTGGATGTTACAGTAACAGGGGGACTCCATTAAACAATATCAGTAATAAAATAGCTCATGTTATTGAACATTTCACTTTCAGCCCGTTGGAAACAATTTTCCGAAAACCCACTTCCACCAATCCACCAAACCAGGAAACAGACCAATCTCAGCGGCAGCTGTGCTGTAGTTGAATCCAATAGCAGTCACAAAATAGCATCTGCTGTTTTTACTACAGCATCTAAGACTAGTTTAGGAGGCAACGCTGAACTGATGAGTAACCAATTGCCCTGTCTCTTAACCAAGAGCCATGTTCCAATGGATGATACGCAGAAACAATTGTATTTCACAGCTATCCTATGTACCAACCTCTTAGAGTCAACAAGTAATTCTTTCAAAGGGAAACATGTAGGTCAGCTGAGCATATGGAACACTATAAGCAACCTGCTCGGTATTTCGACTATGACCAACAATTGGATGGGGATCACCTGCCACCCTAATTCAGGACGCTACAAAATAGTAGGCCTTTTCAGGTTCTGCTAAACTTAGTCGATAGGGTAGAAGCGCTGTTGCTTTTGACAGTTCGTCTCCAGAATGGATCATATTTGCTCCGCATCTTTCTGGATGTTTCATGCAGCGAAGGAAAGCTTCTAATAGTTCTAGCTAAAGACCAAAACCGGCACTGATGTGTCTATGACACCACTCATTATCATACTCACGGAACATACGAAGCAAGGAGACACGGCGAAGGTCAGCGGCGCTATATTCGTGACACCCCGCTCGTGAATGACGTTGTGGCCACTTCTCTATCAAGGCTGTCAAGGTCAGCAAGCTGCAAAGGATGCGGCCGTGGGGTAATGAATGTTGTGGTTACAAAATATGCAAATGGAATGTAGGTTATTGGAGCGATGCCGGTCATTTCGGAACGTGTTGCCAACTGAAACTGTAGTCCGACGTTAAGTGTTGCCTCAGCAGGCAGCCGATGAGAGTACTCCATTAAAAATGCACTCTGGGAAAAGGTCGGTAAGAATTGAGAATCTTCTTATACAATCCAGTATCAACTCTGCATGCTTGGTGTAAGCTGCATGGCTAGAGTGACCACTTACGATATCAATGAATCAAAGTCCAAGCGATTCAAAATAATACCATTAAAATCGGATAGCTCTCGGCCATATAACTGTCGGCACAACCTCTCATTCTATCCACGTATCTTCCGTCTCGCTGCTGAAATACAAACCAGTTATTTGCATGTACACAATTCTCCTCAACAAAATTGCCGCGCGTCTGTTGTATCACGTAAAAAAACGCTTGGGATCCCATCTCTATAACCAAGCCTTTGTAACACTCAGAGGTTACGGATGCCGAGATCGCGATTCAGAGAATCTCGCTGTCCCGACACGATCGTTCCAGGATAGGGGTTGTGATCCTCTACTATGGCAACGACTTAAAATGCAAACCATTGGATTAACCAGAGACGTGGGTAAACGATGCGCTATTGTGCCATTTACGTCTCAGGTACAATAACAAGTGCTTCCTGGCAGTCGTTTTTGAATCATCGTCCACTCCAGAGATGGATTCCCGTTTAATATCAGCGATGAGAATCTCTTACTTCGAAATTACAGCCATGTTTTTAACTCCGGATATTTCAACGTACGCAGCATTGAATCCTCGACATACCCAATCCTATTTTAGAGGGAGAATTCCAAGACCTCCTGTACAGTTTTGTCACCCACTTACCAGGTCCGGAGCTGATAACAAACCTTTGGTACTAAAAGTCGTACCTAAGAATTAAAAACTCATGGTTCCCAGGCCATTTACATACACAATTTTAGGGCTCAGTGACCGTGGTCTCATACTTTATAACTATGCATGTTACGTTGAATATGAGGAGGAACACACTGAACTAACACATGCCATTGCAAGCCAAAGCATCCTGTAGTATCTAATTGGTTTCACTGATT